AAANATGGCAACCTACTCCAGTATCCTTGCCTGGAGAATCCCCATGGACAGAGGAGCCTGGTAGGCTATAGTCCATGCGGTTGCAAAGAGTCGGACATGACTGAATGACTTCACTTCATATGGCCTTTAAAAACAGTGAAGTAAGCTGCCCTTGCCTTCTAAGATGGCCCACATGCTGCCCATGGAATGTGTATCTCTGCTTTGTTTTCTATGGCTTGCTCTTGAATTCTTTCCTGTGTAAAGCCAAGGATTCTCACTTGGGGGCCCATCCCAGGAACTTGTCAGAGACCTGGGACATGACCATCCCCTTGGGACCAATTTTCCTGCAATACTTTTACAAAGGAAGCAGAAGAAGATGGTTTTCTCTCCCTCCCCACTTTTCCTTTTGTTATAAAAATGTAGCTCACTTAGTTTTGGGGGAGGAGCTCTCTTACCTGCCTGCTTCTATCATTCACAAGTATCCTATATTAATAAACCTACTTCTTATCTAAAAGAAAAAAAAAACAGTGAGGTAAACCTGTATGTACTGACATGGAAGTTTCTTCACAACATTCTGTTCAGTGTAAAGATGCAAAATAGTATTATGGCTTTGATAATGATAGTTACTATTAGACTATGTATAAGGAATAAAGATTGAAGAAATGCACACAAAAGTGTTAAAGACAATGTTATCAGGAATGTGGAGTATACTTTTCATTTTATGTATTTCTATGTGGTCTGAATTCTCTATGGTGAACAAGCATAATGTTAGTGACTAATGGAATTTTTGAACATAATTTCTCTGCTAAGCATGTTACATTAATTATTGGTCACACAATGAATAGGTGGTGTATATTACCTATTCTACAGATAAGGATTAGGAAAGTTAACCTGTCCAAGTTTAGATTCTTTATCTAAAGAGATAATCTTTTCAAACTATGTATCATAAAGTGAATATAGTCTTCCCAGGCCCAGCTTCTCTTTTTTTAGAAGCTGGCTCTTTTGGCTATTTCTCCTTCCCATTGTGATTTCACTTCTCTTTCACAACTATTAAAATTCATTTCCTCTGGGAAGTTACCACAGACTCCTGGTTCATTAACTTCTCTGTAGCATTCTGATGTACTCACCACTGTGCTTTTGCATATATGTTACCACTTGAGCTGGTAAAGAATCCGCCTGCAATGCAGGAGACCTGAGTTCAATCCTGGGTTGGGAAGATCCCCTGGAGAACGGAAAAGCTTCCCATTCCAATATTCTGACCGGGAGAATTCCATGGACTATATAGTCCATGGGGTTGCAAAAGGTCGAACATGACTAAGCAACTTTCACTTTCTACCACTTGAATTTGCATGGTTCTATTCTCATTCACAGAATACACAGAAGAACTATACAAAAAAGATCTTCATGACCCAGATAACCATGATGGTGTGATCACTCACCTAGAGCCAGACGTTCTGGAGTGCGAAGTCAAATGGGCCTTAGGAAGCATCACTACGAACAAAGCTAGTGGACGTGATGGAATTCCAGTTGAGCTACTTCAAATCCTAAAAGATGATGCTGTGAAAGTGCTGCACTCAATAGGCCAGCAAATGTGGAAAACTCAGCAGTGGCCACAGGACTGGAAAAGGTCAGTTTTCATTCCAATCCCAAAGAAAGGCAATGCCAAAGAATGCTCAAACTACTGCACGATTGCACTCATGTCACACGCTAGTAAAGTAATGCTCATAATCCTCCAAGCCAGGCTTCAACAGTATGTGAACCGTGAACTTCCATATGTTCAAGCTGGTTTTAGAAAAGGCAGAGGAACCAGAGATCAAATTGCCAACATCTGCTGGATCATCAAAAAAGCAAAAGAATTCCAGAAAAACATCTACTTTTGCTTTATTGACTATGC